ATGTACATACAATCTGTGTAATTTCGTTACTTAACTTTTAATATGATAATGGAACTTAGATAGGTAAATGTTCATATGCATACTAGCTGTCGCCCGCGGCTCCGTCCGCGCGGGATTAAAAATAGATGTTGGCCGATTCTCAGATATTCAATATGCTCACAAAATTTCATGAGAATCGGTCAAGCCGTTTCGGAGGAGTATGGGAACGAAAATTGTGGCACGATAATTTTATATATATGACTAGCTGTAAAAAAAACTTATTTGTCTATGTGTTCTTCCAGGCTATGTGTTGTACCAAATTTCAGTGAGATTTATGCAGCCAATGCGCGGAGCTGCCTTCTAACATACTTCCAACAAACATCCATCCATCTATGCAATAGAATAATTTCGAATGACATGTATAAAATAATATTCACTGATGATTATATTGATTTCATTTAAAAGATTTTTAAGTATAAAAGAGAAATCTTTTTTTATAAAAACTATGTATATTAATGTATCTTTGTATGATAAACGTGGGAAACATAATTGTCTCAATTAACATTTACCGGTCACTCACTTAAATCATTATATTTTTTGTTAATATATAATTCAATACATAATTAAATTAACCGAGCATTTCAAAAGATAATAAAATAATATTGAAATTACTCTAAAAAAATCTTTATAGCACTGTGTGAATTTCGAGTGTCATTTATTCGTATTCTTCCTCCGAATGCGATCAGCGGGGTTAGAAGTGCATTCGCTTGGAAGCGATTCAATAACTAACTTAGTAAATGTATTGACCTGATTGTCGCCCATCAGTTCCATACATTTTTAAATTCTTTATGAAAGCGCATCGAAGCGAATGCACTTTGTCTAGCATCCCTGGCTTATTGTTTATTAATTGGATAATCGTGAGTTTCTAAGACCGAAACCCCCAATATAAAAAATATTTTTATCTCTGTTTTGTAAAAGATATATTTTATACAGGGATTATAATCCCAGAAACCAAGGATAAATGGTATAAACTTTCAAGTAAATATCATTTGGTATGCTGTAAAAACTCAAAAATTAATCATCAACAATGAAGTCACGTAGCTGCACGAAATTGTAATTTGCTTTCAGTTAACAAAGCAAATGCAAACATACCGAGTAATTTTTACATTACCTATGATTATGACAATTGCTCTATATGCTCTGATTATCTATGATATCCCATGTCAACGTAAACGTTGAATTAAAATCACACGGATCCATTAAATTTAATAACTAGTATGTTCTTTTGTCCCTCATAAAAGCACCAACGTTAAACGATGACCCCTGTCTATAAACGTAACAACGTAACATAACTATGATGTAACCTTCATTGCGGTTCCCTCAAATAAATAATTATTTATGTATTTTACCCTTTCAATTTAACTATGTAAAGATTTTGAGAGTATTACGCAGCTGAGCTCGATTCTCGCAAAAAAACTCTAACTGTCAGTATGGCAGAAAGAGGAAAGACTCATCATTTCGGAAAACTCAAATAAATGCTAAAAGATTGCTAGTAATTTTGGCTAAATTTTACGTTCTTCATTTGTTTCTCGAGTAAATCTAAACGTAGCTAATTGTAATATAAGCGTATCATAAGTTAAGAATGTCCAACATCTTAACACACTTTTAATTTAATGAACAGAAAATCTTTTACTTAAAAAAGATATATTTTAAAAAAAACGTCGGATAAATGTACGTATGTAAATCGGAAATCGAAAAACACATTGGTACAAGGCGAGATTCGAACCCAGGACCTGCAGATTGCAAGTCAAGTGCGGTAAGCACCGACGCTCTGTATATCTTTAATATGTATATATTTGTAAACTGCGACGTTATTGCATTTTAAATACATTTACGTGTGTCGGAAGCAGCTCGACATTTTGCAATGAATAGCAATTACTTGCATTACACACTCTTCTGTGTTGCAGCGTCATTAACTATCCAATTTGGAAGGCAACTCTTAACAAATACTGCAGTTAGTGTTTCATTTTGTAATACAGAAAGGCATAGTTTATATCTGTCAAGATCAACCTAATTAGTCAGTTGAACTTTACATGAAATCGAATATTCAATACGAGTCAATAATCAATAACTTTACGTGAATATTTTTAATAGTCTACCAAATACAAGGTCGCTAAGCTTTGGTTTTCGAGAATAAAATCTCTGTATAGAACATATCGTCACCCCTGTCATCCTTGACAAAACAATGATAACAATATGTTGTTTGTAGTCTCAGAAACTCATGATTAGAGTCGTAAATATGTTCTTAATCGAATGTTTATTAAATTTACTCTTGAATATATGGTAATTATGACACTAAAATGCATCTAAAATTCACTTAATGATTTAAATTCAATGTCATGAAACAATAACACCTTTGTTAATGTTAAGTTCTCTTCACAAAAATCTAGGTCAATGTTGTGTCAACTATAATATGCATATTTGATTATCTGTAACATTTTCCTGAGGTTATCGTTGTTATAAACATATGCAATTATTATATTTAATAAAATAAATAGTCTGCTGTCCGGAATTACATTTATTCTATATAATACATAAACATAACGTCTGATATATATAATTCCTTTACTTATATAAAAAAGACTTTAGGTCGGTAGTCGGTATGTTATTGTACATTTAAAAAATCTTTAAAATTTATTTATTTCGTTAAGAATATGTCAAACCACTTATTTTCTCTAGCAGAATAAAATAAAGCAAAAGTAATATACTATGATAATTTACATTTACTTTTCTTTAACTTACAACAAAGAAGATAGAAAAAGGAATCAAAGAACTAGCACTTTTTATCTTAGCTAGTCAAAACATCAGTAGTAAACATGTTGGCGTGTCGAGATGGCCACTAGATCGTAGACAGTTAATTGGCAAACGCACCGTGTAATTATACATAACTTGTTTCGACATTGAAAACGAACGCAACAATGTTGCGATGCACCAGTGATATTGAAGCAACAATACAACGTTTTTTTCATAGTATAAGACGGTAAATGAACAAACGGTCAATCAATTTTCAAAAAGCGAAGTAACCGCTGGGCATAGATAATGTACAATGGACAGATCAAGAAACTATCCCTCCCTCAAGTCTCTACGATATTACTAGCTTTCGCCCACGACTCTGTCCGCACGGGATTTAAAAAAAATAGCCTATGTGTTCTTCCAGATTATGATCTACATATATACCAAATTTCAGTGAGACCTGTTCAGTCGTTCTGGAGATACTTTCAAACATCCATCCATCTAAATATTCGCATTTATAATATTAGTAAGATACTAAAGAATAACGCGTTATCGTAAAATCATAACTATTTTGTGTTGAATATAATTTCGACAAATCTACTTTCTCGTATAAAATTTAGTAACAATACTAAGACAAATCTGTAATTGTTTTTATTTATTAACACGAAACTGCAATCGTATGTCTAAATTTGATATGAAATACATAAATCTGAAACGCAACACTCGATAATTTATGTGGGCGTTCGTGTTTTAATTGCCATTTAAAATTTCATCATACAAAATATATTATAGACTAACACTATAAAATAACATTGCTAAAAAGATCGTTATAAGACCGAAATAAATTTATTCATAATTTTAAATGTGTAGTCAAAGAAAAGTGAGGTTAAGTTTTTATGTTTATGCTTTGGCAGTGCAAACGCTGTTAGATATTTGTGAATTGATTACGATGAAACTAATTATGCATAGCAGTTCTTTGACAACCGTAAATAAATAGGATTTATATCGAAAATTTGCGTATAAACTTGTATTAACATTTCAAAATGTTCACGTATCAAGACGTATCAAATCGATTAATAAACTTTTAATTTACATAGCATTTTTGTGTGAATATTAAATAAATATCAATTGATATAGAAAATAATAGATTTATACAATTTTCTTAATAATTTTCTACTTAACAAATAATTAATCTACGTAACGTATTACACACTATTACAATACAAATGTAGAGATACACAAATAACTTATTTTGTGTTTGTTTCATGTATTTTATTCTCTACTAATATTATAAAGAGGAAAGATTTGATTGTCTGTTGACATTGAAAATACTTTAGAACTGCTGAACCGATTTGAAAAATGTTTTCACTGTTGAGAAGCTACACTATCCCTGGGTGATAAAGGCTATATTTATTACTAGTTTTTAAACTCCGCCTAGACAAAGTCGTGGGCAACTGCTAGTGCTTAATAAGTGTGGGCTACACTGACAGGCGTGACAAAGTGTTATTACTGTCATTTCCAACATATAATTACTGTAACGTGTGATAAAGCATAAAGCGTCATTATTATGAGATGTTTGACGCATTTGACCCCTAGATCCCGTCAGATATGACTTAATTACTGGGTCATATGAACAATAACATATTTCTAACGGTATGCACGTTGCATGTTTTATGGGTTTACTAGCTGTCGCCCGCGACTAAGTACGCGCGGGATAAAAAAATTAGCCTAGTAGCCTATGTGTTCTTCCAGGCTATGTTCTATATGTGTGCCAAATTTTGTCGAGATCTGTTTAGCCGTTCTAGAGATACCTTCAAACAAACATCCATCTAAACATTCGCATTTATGATATTAGTAAGAAGTAAGATTTATTTTGTTATATTTTCTTTACATAACATAACAGTATCTGCATGAAGTTTTTGTTAATTTGAATCCTCAAATATCCATAACATCAAAAATATGAAAATAATAATTTTTCAACAAAAAAAAAATCAACTTGTATGTATTATTGACAATATTTGGAAACCATTTCAATCGCTAAATGAGTAGGATTTTAAACCTACCCTTAATAACGACCAAAGTAGCACATAGAGTTAGTAGCCTTGTTATTGTTTACTACAAGTTTGTTTAACATCTACATTGCATTAGACATAAATAGGAAGCACCTTTCGATCTTATATTGCATTATCAATAATAATTAATAACAATATTATCTCTATTTGTTACAGATATAATCTGGATCGGATCAAGAACTACGAACTCCTTTACGCAAAACTCCTTCCTCGACATAACCTCAAAAGTGACGCTGTCATTTTGACGTTTACAACTTGTTGGTGAAATCGTGAAGTAAACAATAAACAAAAGGACTATGCGGATAGGATTTTTAAAAAGATAACATTAGAAATTTCTCTTGCAACTTCTATTCATAATGGCGTCTTGGAAGTCTTGTTTTTGGACAGTGTTTGTGCTATGCCTGTTGGGAAAGATATCCGGATTGGATAATGGATTGGCTTTAACCCCACCGATGGGTTGGTTGGCGTGGGAACGGTTTAGATGTAACACTGATTGCAAAAATGATCCCGATAATTGTATAAGGTTTGTATTATTTTGTGTTTAAAGTTGTTAGTTTCAATTTTACTGTGTATCCAAGATTCACATACGAGAATGTACGTTCAACTAAAAAAGAAAGAGAACTATGGTCATGTAACTAATACGATGAACGATTGCTTGCGTTTCTTTTCTTTTTATGTTATAGAAGTAAAGACTTATAAACTCTATATTTTATTTTGATACTGTACCGACCCTCTGCAGGGACATCCTGCTCTTTGTTGTCTTGCAGCCTAAACGCCTTCAACGATTTAAAGCCTGAGTTATCAACAGAGTCGTATTATTCTGTACTGTCTTATGGGTATAGATGGGATATTATTTACTTTTTAAAATAATCAACCAGTTAAGTTAATTAAATATAAACGATGAATGTGTAAGAGAAGGGAAAGGCGCGAAAGGGAAATCCGTAATCTTTTCCTATCCACGTGGGTTACGTGTGTTGTTGCTAACTACTATTGTACCAGCACTTTCTTACAGCGACCGACTATTCCGTACTATGACGGATATCCTGGTCAACGAGGGGTACGCGGCGGTTGGCTACGAATACATCAACGTTGACGACTGCTGGCCGGAACGGGAACGTGACGCGCGCGGCAGACTGGTGCCCGATAGAGAAAGATTCCCGTACGGAATGAAGAGCTTATCTGATTACGTGAGTACTCGCTTTGTTATTTTTTACACTTTGTTTGCCATGGTTGGACGGCCCTGATTGGTATACTTATTAAGGGTTGAGGACGTGGTTTTAATATTCCGTTTATTAAATAGTAAAATGGTTACGGTTTTGAAGTTTGTTGATATTTAAAATTTAAATGTTACGGCCGCTATTGAGCAAAAATACAGTTTAGAAACATTACCAATTTAGTAAAAATTAATTGCTATTTAAATTTCTTCAGTAGAATTTAAATTTACATTAATTACATATTTCGTGTTTTGTGGTTAATTTTTTGCATTTGAAATTATGCAAAGGAGTGTTATAAATTTCATTAAATACCTAATTAACATCACATAAATTCTTCTCATTTAGATGGAAAAATAGTGTTTATGCGATAAATTTATATTTTGTAACATGTCTTAGTAAGGGAAAGATAAAATTTATCCGGTCTGTTTTCTAAAAAAGGTAATAAAATCTCATCAAAATTACTATGAGTTAAGTTATCGCACTTTAGTCCCATTTATAGATATGTTTTCTTCAATAAAACTAATTAAAACAAGATATATAAGTAACATGTTATGCGTTATTTTAACTTTATCGTTGATGATTAAATGACATCGATATATTTTAACCTTTAAACAAGATAAATAGAAAACAATGTAGCTATAATGGCGTGTAACCATCGAACCATTTGAAAGACATAAACACGTGATTTCGTTACGTCAAGTGATGTACCACGGAATTGACATTTCGTGTCGCATCACTCATGACAAATGCATACCACGTGTAGGAATTAAATCGATTGCGTACAAGTTCATGAATCTTATTATTTCGTGATTTACTTACTAAATAAATGTGTTGATTTGTTATTTTAAAGTGGCTGGCAAAAAAGTACAAAAAGAAGAAATAAAAATAGAGAATTAAATCATACAAAAAAGGAAAAAAAACAAAACCTTTCAAGACTGTTTTTTGATTAGACACCAATTCTATCAAAAGTAATAATGAAATTGCATAATCGGTCTTTAACAAAGTGCATCCGATCTCTATCGTTGTTTATGGCAGATGTCTTTATTTACTGCGAACTCCTGCCAATCATAGACAAATTGAAACTTCCTGCATAAAAGTGCACTTGTTTGACTTTGTCAACTGTATCATGAACAATAAGCATTGTGTTTTGTAACAGGTTATAAAAAGCAATGTGGTATTACCAACAAAAAGATTTGAATACTAGTGGATTGGTCAATTTAATTCTAATCATATAGATTATTGTTTCCAAGTTTCCGTGAGTTTCTACTGCTGAAACATTCGTAAAGAAATATTATTAACCTTCTACAACTTGACGTAGACATAAATATGTTTTAAACACCAACAAACTTATCAGACCCAGTGTCAGTCAAATTAATTATGATAGCTCACTAGCGCCCCCATGACAAAGCTAAAAAAGTGTCACAAGATTCTTTTCTTAGCTGTCTTGTCATTTTTAATGTTATTTTCTATGACTATATTAAGATTTAGTTGTTGGGAAAGATATTGTGATGTTATGTACATTAAAAATTGTGTTACGACCTTCTTTTTAAGTGACGTATGTTTTTTTACGAAGTTCAAGATTGTATTTGGAACAGAGTATAAAATGTAAATTAAATTATATTAAGCAAATACAGATTAAATGAACAGCAATTGTATCTAGGTCGATCAGTATATCAATGTCGTATTGTGAATGTATTGTACTTGTACACGCAATAGTATGTGAATGGAAGATTTATGTACTTGTATGTTTCGTTTTTATATTTATGTATGCACTTTTTTTATTATCAAAATGATTCAGAATTTTTATTCGTGTATTTTGTGCTCATATGATAGTCTGAGCGGTCTTGATAAAACTGGATCAAAATTCGTTTGTACTTGACCTTAATTTAATTTATCAAGTTCTCACGAAATATTATCGTTATAATCATAATAACGAAAATATTAATTATTGCTATTGTATAATATTTTTAATTCCTACGATTGTATTCAATTGTAACTATTCTGTAGCATCTTTGTAAGTAAATTTTTTAATTTAGTAACATTTCCTTGTTTATAATTCCACGCGATTTACGAGTTGCAAGAGTTTACTAATCAATTTCGTAATAGGCTATTGCTTCCATACGAAATAGACGTAACATTTTCTATGTTAAACGAGGTTCAGGCTAAGCGCCATCTGCGCTCGGCCACAGTGCAAACAGTGACTACTCAGTCACAAAAAAACAATTCTATGCATAGAGTCTTAAACGCTAATTAATTACACTTTCATAACCGTACTATCTTACTAATCTTATTTTTTACTAATATTATAAATGCGAATGTTTAGATGGTTGGATGTTTGTTTGACGGTATCTCCGACACTGCCCAACGAATATCGCTGAAATTTGGCATAAATGTAGAACATAGTCTGGAAGAACACATAACCACTTAAGGTTTTTTTTTAACTTAGCGCGGACTGAGTTGCGGGCAACAGCTTGTTATAAGTCTGATAAATAAATAAAGTTATCTTTGTACATCGCAATGCTTTTTAGATAAAGATATATCGGAGTTTATACGTTGGATATTTTTATATCCATTTGAATATCTGCAAAAACAACTAACAGAAGTTATAAGTTATTTAATTGTTATTTTTCTTGCTTTTTAAAAGTTTTTTTTTTTAGTTTTGCACACTTATCACTACAAATACTAGTATATTTCCAACTATTATAATTATAGTAGATTTAGAGTATACGTAATTGAAGAAATTCTCAAAGAATAGACTACATTTTTATGATATGTTTAATGCACTTTATATTATATTATATTTTCGTTTGTGATTTCTTTTTTTTTTTACGTGAAGATTGAAAGATTAACTCAACTTTCACCATTAAAAGTTAAAGAAAGTAGATCAATTTTCTTTCCACTTCAATAATTGATGTACTGTCTTACACGTACTACTCGTGCGCTATAATATAAGAGCATAATGTCATGACGTCATTACCTATGTAACCTATGTAATAAAATTAACTCAATTGATCATAATCCTATGTAAAATTTATTCATATGTACGTACACCATATTTAATTTCAGAGCCTTGAACCACACACAACGTTTTTCCGACTGGAAACAGAGCACATGTTAACCATTGATCTTTAATGTAAAAAGACGCTTTATTTAAAATTCCTTGAAGCATGTCGTTCGTTGTCTGCATTTTAAATATACAACAACAACCGACGAATATATCACTATAATATCACTTTAAATATGCACGTGACTGTTATTAATTCGAATTCATTTATAAAATAAATATAAGTTTAATAATATTTATTTTATGCGCATATTTAAAATAGGAATAACTCTGTATGTTATCCTAATAGGATAGGATAATATACAGAGTATTAGGTCGGATATTTCTTGTAAACTTATTTAAAATGGAAATGAATCCTTGTAATTTAACGAACTTTTTAATATTTGGCACAGATGTAGAACATAGTCTGGAAGAACGCATAGACTATTACGAAGATTTTTATTAAAACCGCGCGGACGGAGTCGCGGACGACATCTTGTGTATACATATTTACGTAGCTGACTGTATATATCTGTACAGCGAAGTATGAAAAATTATGTAGGTATAAAAGTAACAATTGTTACCTTCACAATACTCCAGACTCTAAAGAGACAATGCCTATTTAAATTATTGCAAAGTACAGACAAATAAGTCAACTAACTAACGTAAAAAAGTACACTGACCGTTTAGTTATGTCGATGATTAACAAAATATTTATGAGAAAAACATAAAAAGAACGCTTTAAATTTCGCAGTTTTTGTTGCGATTTCATCAGAGTATATGACAAGATACTTGTAATAATTACAATCGTGCGGATAATGACTATAACAACGATAAGATTATGCATAAGTTTTCTAGAATATGTAACCGTTACAATTAACACCACAATAAAACATCAGTTCGCGTAAATTAAAAAAAAAACTATTTAAATGCGTATGGAACACGGGAATGAATTTTTTTATTTGAATGAATTGAACTATGCTTCGTTCTTAGACCGTATTTATGAAGTATTGACTATATTTATGAAGTAATTGTACATTGGGCCCAGCACGAATATTTGTGAGAATCGCCTTCGTATCATCATCGTCAATTATGTCAAAATTAGTATGAGATTTGTGATGTACTTTTCGCCTGATAGGGTCGCTGCACAAATTTCGACGAAGACGATACGATAGCAAAACAAATATTCGTGCTAGGCCCACAGTTCAAAAGGTTACTCATTCGTTCATTCACTCGAATTTATTATATGAATTCGTAAAACCATTTCGTTTTTGAGGTTATCAACAACGATCAATAGTATTCTAGAATCTAGAATAATTTGTATAAATTAAGTATTTGATAAACTATTTCCCCTTTTTAATTTTACTCCACACTTCCAAGTGCAGTATGAATTTTGTATTTTATGTTTTTGTTCCGCTTCTGTTTCTCTCGCTACACTTTTACTCTCCGTTGGGCAATTTTGTTCGAAATCGTTTACCAGATCACTTTAGCCGCTTTATCGAATTGAGTGAAAGTGAAATATTTTTGAACCAATTAAATGATCTCTAATCAGATTTTAACTGCAAGCACTTTTGCTCTTAGTGGTAATGACGATAATACTTTTCTGCCCGCGATTATGTCCGCGCGGAATTATAAAAATGCTTTATTAGGTGCCTATGTGTTCTTTCAGACTATGCTCTACATCTATTTCAAATTTCACCGAGATCCATACAGCCGTTCTGGAGAAACCTTTTATCAAACATCCAAATCTATCCATCTAAACATTTGCATTTATAATATTAGTAACATTTTACACTAAGATACACCTTTCAAAATTTTCTTGAGGATAATTCACACGTTACTAAATTAAAACTACAGAACATTTTAATAATAAATAATTTTGCAATGAAACGTTACGTTGAATACATCATGACATGATAGATGAGGTTAC